AGTGGCTTTAGGGAGCGAGGAGAGGGGAGCAGCAGAGATTTTCCTTGTTTGTAGAAATCATTGCTTGTGCTACAGAACCAAATTAAGAAAGCCACCCATAATCCTTGTCCAAACAACCATAGTCCTTGAACAGACTTTGAGAGGTGCTTGTGAAATTCAGCTTGGATTCCTGAACTCAAGAGTTGGGGAGGAAACGGAAGCAGAAGTTGGCTTTACTATTATAGATGTTGTTGACAGCAATATCCTCTATGCTCAAGTGTGGACCCAATATCCCAACTAGTCCCAAACATTCCCTTTTCAGCATCATCTCCTTATCGTTTAGGGCTGCAGCATACTCATCTCCCTGAGATGCTGCTTCTGGGGGACAGGTGGCCATTTCAGGAAGCCCAGCAGGCTGCAGTGGAGGGGGGAAGCAGAAAAGTTCTGTTCTATTAGCCAAACGGCCTTTTTTTAAAAAACAGAAACTGAACTTTACATCCCACCCATTCTCTTTATTGGTAGAAGAATCATAATCTAAGGTGCAAATGTTCACCAGAAGCTTTGTCCAGATGTTAGGCAAACAAATATTTTGGGTTGCTCAGTGTTCCTTCTAAGCTGAGTTAGTGTGAGCTAGCTCACAGTGTTTTAGCCTCTGGCCCACACATTTTTGTCTTAGCTCCGGAAGGATGGCTCCAGAGCAAACTAATTTGTGCAGTAGCTAAATCAATCGCTCACGACTTTAATGCCTGTCGCTCACAAAGTAGAATTTTTGCTCACAAGACTCCACAGCTTAGAGGGAGCATTACGCCAAGAATGGGTTGCTAGGTATGCCAGAGGGTATTTCTGTGCACAACAGAAGCCTCAATTTGTAATAGTCTTAATATGAAAACAGTTTGGGGAAATATAATCAGGACTACAATGCTTAAGGAGGAGGACTGGTTTCATGGACTGGCATTGTTGGGCAGCTGCCAAGGGCTATGCACCTCACAGCAACACCAATTGTACCTCCCCCTATCAGTCCGGGTGGTGGCACCAGAGGGGGAAATGATGGCTCCTCTTCTTCCTCCTTTCTTCCCCTGCCATCGGCTGCTGGTTTGTATGACTGAATAAGCAATGGTATCAGCCATCGCTTCCTAGACAAAAAGCACAGGAAAGGAGCAATGGCAGGTGTCATTATGCCTCAAGGGCACCTGCCTTATAGAGTACTGCACAAGATGCTGTGCCCTGCCCTACAGAACATACAATTAGCTTGAGACTGTGGTGGGGGAAAATGTTATGGTAGAAGCCAAGGTGAACTCATGCAGGACATGGCTCTGTTTCAGTTGTGGCTGCTGGGTTTGAGGCATTTCCTCCCCTCCCCAGAATATCTACTCCACTCAGGCCTGACACCTTGTTTGTTCTAGGAGTTGGCCACAAATTCACATGAGAAGGAGCCAGACGCATCAGGACCTGGACAAAGCACTGCCTATCAGGAAAGTGGACAAGAGAGGGAGGCCGATAGCAGTTTGCAAAGTAAGTGATTGAAGGTTTGTTTGTTGTAGCGTCTCAGGAGCAACTTCAGATTAGGATCCTTTTCTCTCCAATGCTTGAAATTCTAAGAATGCCAGGCTCGTACCATCTGTGTTAAGTATGCAACTCAACAACGAAGTAAGTAACAAAGTGAATCAGCCTTATTTGAGAATGAGAACTTCCAAAGATCACACAGCATCAGACGACACAACAACACGCAACACACATACAACAGTGGACCATAGCTCCTTTTTATCTCTCCCGGGCCGGTGTAGCCACGCCTTCACATAGTTAAGGTCCAATCGTATTACGGAGATAACAACCAATATACACAGTTCCCTCCAGCACAGTTCTCTTACGTTTGATTGGTTACAGATTATGCTTCAGCCAATGGTGTTGTTCCAGATTACAATCCGGCTGAGGTTTCAAGCGTTACATTGCATGTCGATGACAAGACACAACAATTCCTCCCCCCTAAGATGGAACAATACCCAGACATATGTAGCCCTTCAGATAGGGAGGGGCACACCTTGTTCGGCTAGACCTTTGTATAGGTTCTGGTGGTGGAACTGCTTCAGGAGACACTGACCTTCAGCTTCCCTCAAGATAAAGAATTGGCAGAAACATGCCAAAGTCTAGCTGAAACTAACGTGTGCTCCACAAGGATATCCTCTGCAATTCTTCATATCAAATTTTCTCTGACTGTTTTTTTTAATGTTCTCCAAATATTTGACATCAGAGCTTGGCATCCTTGATATTTGATATTTGACTATTGATATTATTCAATAACTGATACATATTGGTATTTAGTACTTAACATCTGACAGATGACTTGCAGTGGTATTTAGCATTTGACAGTATGTCATGAAAGGTAAAGGTTCCCTTGCTCGAAAGCCAGTCGAATCCGACTCTAGGGTTGCGGTGCTCATCTCCGTTTCAAAGCCGAATTCATGTTTGATGCCCCCTAAAATCAAAAGACCTGAAGGTTTTGGAAGTCCTTCCACCCACCAGTATAAAACATTACCTTTCCCTCCCCTGATGAACATTGAATTTCTGAAGTGCCCTTTCTCAGAAAAGTGGAGTGGACATAGTTTGTTTTCTTCTTGCAGATGCTGGAATGATCCCCAGTGAAAAGAGGCTGCAGTCTCCCTTGAAGGATGAGACGGAGGAACTACAGAGGAATGTACCAGCAATACACATGGCTGACCCCGTGCAGAATTGTAGCCAGGGGAGAATGTGGGCCAGCCAGGTCCGAACCACAAACGATCTAATCAACTTTCCATCAACGATGGATAAAAACATTTCTGCTGCTTATCACGATACAGGGCACCACAAGATTCAAGGTATCGGTGTGGGCACAGAAGGAAAATTAAATATAACTAGACAGCATGCCAAGAGCTTTGGCCGGCAGACAGAGCTTCTCAGAGACAAGAGAATGCACAATGGCGAGAAATCATACCAATGCCCTAAATGCAGGAGACGATTCAGCGAAAGCACAGCCCTTCACCAGCATCTCAAAAGCCACACTGCTGAGAAACGATACCAGTGTACTGAGTGCGAGATGCGCTTCCGGCAGAGCTCGGACCTCATCAAACATCAGAGAATCCACACAGGGGAGAAGCCATACCAGTGTCAGGAGTGTGGGAAGAGGTTCAGCCTGTGCTCAGCTCTGTACAGGCACTGCCGGGGGCACTCTGGGGTGAAACCATTTCAGTGCAAGGAGTGTGGGAAAAGCTTCACACGGAACTCTAGTTTAGCACAGCACCACCGGCTTCACAAGCAGTAGAACCCAGAGTATGCCCTGGACTCAAATATCATAGGATGCAGTTCTGAAACTGGATGTCCTTCCAGGGCTGTGTGTATTCCATAAACTCACTGAGCAAACATTGCCAAGTGCAGAGTTCAGCAACCTGAGGGTCAGGTTCAACTTAAAAAAAAAAGTTTCTAGCCCTCAAGTCTGTGAAATTATGCCCAAAGGGTATGCTGAATGAAAAGTGGCCTTCCTAGCTCTTCATAATTAGGGCAAGCAGCAGTTAAGTACAATAAACATATTTGCATCAAGTACAGAGCATTTATTTATTGATGAGGTTAATTTCCTCTGACACACAGGACCCAAGGTTGTTTACCAACACATATATTATGGGCACTTTCACACACACTAAATAAAGCACTTTCAATCCACTTTCAATCCACTTTGCATTGTATATTTCCCTTTCCCTGTGTGCCGCTCGGACATCACACATGAGAGGCAGAATTTGCGCCTAGGAGGGCAAGGCCACCACCCCGGGGCTTAGGGAGGCGGTGGAACCTTTCGCTCCTCCCCCTCATCTGTCGCTGCTACCACTGGCAGCAGCCATATCTTTTTAAACAGCCCCTAACAAGAGCTGGGGGAGCCGGAATGACCTCTCGGGTGAGGTCTGGGAAACTCAGTGGGGGGTGGCTGTTAGACATTCTTAGGTTAGGCTGTCTTTTTTACATAGAGCAGCACGGATTGATCACATATCTTTCACACCCGAGAGGCAGAATTTGCCCCTAGGAGGGCAAGGCCACCACCCCTGGGTTCAGGGAGGCGGGGGAACCTTTCGCCGCCCCCCCATGGCTGTTGCCGCCGCCAGCGGTGGCCATATATTTTTAAAGAGCCCCTAAAAAGAGCTGGGGGAACCGGAATGACCTCTCGAAATCTCCTCAAAATCTCATAGGGTGGCCATCCTACTGTCCCAAAACTTACGATTCATGCTAGCTGCCCAAAAAGAAAGACCCCCTTGGCAGGTTCGTATTTATTAAAGGGCAATTAGACAACAGGTAGGTGAGGATAGCCACACTCTACACCCCCAACAGTGGACAGACAGACTTCCTCCAGGAAACATTATCCAAACTAAAACTTTTTGCAGAAGGGGAAATCATCCTCGGAGGGGATTTCAATACGATTTCAGACACTCATATGGACAAATCTTACCATTCTCCATCCACGTTATGGCCAAGAAAACGGTACACACAATTAGATGATCTCCCGAAACAACATGACCTTGTTGACATATGGCGTTTGATGCACATGGGGGGAAAAGACTACACTTATTTTTCACCTAGGCATAATGTGCATACTCGTATAGACCTCATCCTTTTGTCCCCATCCATTCTGAGAGAGGTAGTCTCAACCAAGATAGAACCATCGTGTTGGTCCGACCAAGCTTGGTTGGATTGCAACTTAAACTCATTTGACCATAGTACTCCACACAAACAGTGGTCTTTGAATTCATCTTTATTGAACAACCAAATTTTTAGAGATGAATTGAGTAAAGAATTAGAAAGATATTTTGCTATTAACGATCAGGAAGATGTTTCTGATCTGGGATGCCATGAAACCGGTAACAAGCGGGATCATCATATCAAAGTCCTCATATCTGAAAAAAAACAAAGAACACAATTAGAAAATGACATCCTAAATAATATCAATACCCTAGATCACCAATTCAAACAAACAGGATCACAGCATCTTTTGCAATTATTGACCAGGGAACATAGAAATTTGACATTATTGGAAACGACAATTTTTTTTAAAAAATCTACTATTTACCAAACACTGTTCACTAAAAATGCTAGCCTACAAAATAAAGGAACAAGCGCTATCTAAAAACATCAAAGCCTTACAAGGTAAAATTACTACAAACACCCAAAATATACTTAGGAGTTTCGAAGAATACTACACCAATTTATATTCAGACAATCCGTTAGATAGCAATGAATTCCAGAAAGAAATTTTGAACTTCCCAATTCATACTAAGCTAAAAGACCACCACAAATTCTTCTTAGACAACTCAATCTCTGAAGAGGAAGTGCTAGACAATATAAAAATGCTTAAAACAAACAAAGCTCCTGGCCCCGACAGATTTACATCAGACTTCTATAAAACATTTGCAACAATGTTGAAAGGCCCACTCACCAAGGCGGCCTACAAAATAAAGGAACAAGCGCTACCATTCCACCCTCTTGACATCAGGCAGCGACTGTTGTTCTCCCCAAAAAAGACAGAGACCCATTACAACCCAGTTCCTACAGGCCTATTTCCTTACTAAACCAAGACCAAAAAATCTTTACCTCGATCCTTGCTAAATGCCTCAATGTCTTCATTTCAGACTACATTCACCCCAACCAAATGGGGTTCATACCCAATAGAGATTTGGCAGACAACACAAGACTTTGAATTTATTACGTTTCTGCACCAAATCTAAATTGTCCTCTGCTTTTCTTACATTAGATATTGAAAAGTCCTTTGACACTGTCTGATTCCCTTACCTCCAAAATATGGGCTTGGGCAACAAATTTTTAACGGCCTTGAAAGGCCTCTATGCTAATCCCACTACTAATATAAAGATCAATGGTTCCATCTCCAAAACTATCAAATTAGGCAAAGGTACCAGACAGGGATGCCCACTTTCCCCTCTTTTGTTCGCCCTAGCGATTGAGCCATTGGCTCATGCTATTAGGACTTCTTCATCTATCTCCAGTATCAAACTGAAGGAGAAGGAGTATAAGCTGGCTATGTTCGCAGATGACATGCTGTTATATATAACCCATCCCTTATCTTCTATACCTCCATTGCTAAAACTGCTGTGTTCTTTTCACAAAATATCCAGCCTGAAAATCAACTATTCTAAATCCCAAACTTTACCAGTTAACATTGAGATGAAAGATCAAAGATCTCTGAAAGAGAACTTTAAATTTAGCTGGGTCACCTCTCACTTACACTACTTGGGGATTAACATTCCCTTAGATTTATCAAAACTGCTTCAAGTTAACCATCATAATATCCACAGTGAACTGCGTAAAGACATACTTAATTGGGGTAAAATGAATTTATCCTGGATTGAAAGATTCCACCTCATTAAAGCGTTTCTCTTACCCAAATTTTTATTTTTATTCAGGGCCATACCCATTAACATCCCACTCTATGTTATCAGGAACTGGCAGATGACTTTAAGGAACTTTCTTTGGGATAACAAAAAAACGAGAGTAGGTCATCAAACACTACGAAGGTGCAAAAGCCACGGAGGGTACGTTTTGCCTAACCTTTTATGCTACTATAACACCTTGCTAGCCAATGTAATAAAAATGTCATGCCCTACTTCTACATCGGAATGGGTTCAAGTGTGCTCTGACCAACTTTCCTCCTCCTCAATAGATGGTTTGATTTGGGATAAGACTCCACTGTCTCCCACTGGGGTGAAAGATAACATTTTCCTATATCCATCAATACTCACTTGGAGGTCAATTTGCAGAAAACAACTGCCAGACGTATCTAGATATACCCACTTCCTACAGCAACCCTGGTTCTCTGACCATGTCCGACCCAACATCCAATCCAAATGGAAGGAAGCGAATTTATCCCGTTTCTGTGACATTGCAGATAAAAATGGTCTATGCTCTAAGGTAGATTTAGAAAGAAAATTAAGACTCGACATCCCCTGATTCTTATATTTTCAACTTCGTCACATAGTGGATCAGAAAAAAATAGGCAAGATCATTTCTCTCCCACACACAGAATTTGAAGTCATCCTTAAACTATTTCAAACGCAGAACAGAGGCATGATTTCTGCCTTATATAAACTGCTAATAAAAGACATTGGTCCCAAATCCCTCACTTACCAGACAGCCTGGCACCAGGATTGTAATAATGTGATTGATGATGAAATGTGGAATAAAATATGGTCTGACAAAGGTTGCAAACCTCACTCCTTACCAGTCAACTTACATAAATTCAAAATCTTATCTCATTGGTGCTTAACACCGCTAAGTTTATCCCACATGTCCTCCAAACATTCATCAAAATGTTGGAAAGGTTGCGGACATGTAGGTAATTTTGCCCACTGTTGGTGGCGTTGTGTGGAAATTGAAAAGTTCTGGACTACAGTTTTACAGTACATTAAAACTATTTTAAGCATTGAAGTTCCTTTCAAGCCAGAACATATATTTTTAGGAATTTGGCCACAACATATTGAGCATCACCATCACAAAGGCATATTGGAAGTCATGTTATATGCTGCAAGGCTTTCAGTAGCCTCATACTGGAAAGACCCTGCTCCACCTAATATCCAAGTCTGGTTCAGAAAGCTGTGGGACCAGTTTATCAGGGAAAGCATCACCGACAAACACAACAGCAATGCTAGATCTCCCTTGGTATCAAACTTGGGGGCTAAATGGTTCCCTGTCTTGGAATTCTTGTCCTCGGAAGATTTCATTTCATCTTCCTGGAAAAATTATATTCAATGGATCTAATCCATACAAAATGAAGACGCGTCATTTACATGTACGTTCTCAGCCTTGTGTTAATAAGCCTCAAGCTAAAATTTTCCCATATGATCAGCAAACAGTTGCTAATGTTCACAGCTAAATTTTCTCTTTACCCTTAAAAAGACATTCTTATTATAAGTGCTAATTTCAGCAGTCAATTGGTTGTATGAACAGTTATCTTATACTATCTAATTGTAATAGTTGTAGTAGATCCTTTTCAATGTTAAGCTTTATTCTCTAATTATGTACAATGTTTACACATCTTTGTACCAGTTTGTTGTCTCTTACTCTAATTGTTTTGGAAATTGTTTTATGAACTGTTATTATCTCTTGTTTTTCCTACTTATCAATAAAAAACCGTTAAAAAAAAGGCAGTTCTTGAAAGAGCTCTCTCAGCCCCACCTACCTCACAGGGTGCCTGTTGTTGGGAGGAATGTAAGCCGCTCTGAGACTCCAAGTGAAGGGTGGGGTATAAATCCAATCTCCTCCTCCTCGTCGTCCATTATTGTCCATGGAGGCTGAAATGCCCCCTTCCCTTTGCTTCCTGAGTTTTTCCATTTTTTTCCAATAGAGATTGGGGGGGGATGGATGGAAAAACTCACAAACCAAAGGGAAGGGGACATTTCGGCCCCCACAGATAATAACAGACCCAAAGATCGCAGTACTGCAGCGCAAATACTCTGCTCTCGGAGAACTGGGTTTGACTCCCCAGTCCTCCACATGCAGCTGCTGGTGTGACCTTGGGGTCAGTCACAAGTTCTCTCAGGGCTGTTCT